AATGATTTTTCCATAACATACTGCCCCCATGCATGCCTGTTTCCTCTTTGCTATCTATATGGACTGTTTTGTCCAAGCCTAACCACTTCTATTTCTTCTCTAGCCTCTGTTTACCATATTGTCTTTTGAAAATCACCACTAAATAGTACTCATTAGTCATCTACTTTATCAGACATCATCTCTGACATCTGGGCCTTCAGTCTTAAAAAGGTAATGCCAAAGAATCTAGTAAAAGTGATAAAAACAGACACAAAGTGGCTAAAGTTAAGTATAAAAAAACTAATAAACACTTCATACCCATTAAGAAGACTGCTATTAAAAACAAAACAAAGAGGGGAACCTGGGTGGCTCAGTTGGTCAAGCATCTGACTCTTGATTTCTGCTCAGGTTGTGATCTCAGAGTTGTGGGATCCAGCCCCGTGTTAGGCTCTGTGCTCAGGGTGGAGTCTGCTCCCCACTCTCCCTCTGCTCCTCCCCCTGCTCTCTCTCTCTCTCCCTCAAATGAATAAATAAATAAATAAAATATTAAAACAAAACAAGACAAAGACAATAACAAGTGTTGGGAGGATGTGGAGAAACTGGAACCTTTGTGCACTGTTGTACACTGTTGTTGAGAATGTAACATGGTGCAGCCACTGTGGAAAACAGTATGGTGGCTCCTCAAAAAATTAAAAATACAATTACCATGCGATTCAGAAATTCCACTCCTGGGTATATCTCAAAAGAATTGAAAGCAGGGACTGGAAGAGATAGTTGTATTACACATGTTCATAGCAGCATTGCTCATAATAGCCAAAAGGTAGAAGGAATACAGGAGTCCATCACGAGACATGTGGATAAACAAAATGTGGTGGATACATACAAAGGCATTTTTTTTTCAAACTTAAAAAGGAAGGAAGTTCTGCAACACAAGTGTCCATCAATAGATGAAAGGATAAGGAAGAAGCGATATATACACAATGGAATATTACTCAGCCAAAAAAATGAATGAGATCTTGCCATTTGCAACAATATGGATGGACTGGAGTGTATTACGCTAACTGAAATAAATCAGACAGAGTACCAGAAAGTAACACATAGAGATGTCCAATCCCTATATTGTACACCTAAAACTAATGGAACATTGTGTGTCAACTATACTTCAATTTAAAAATATATATATATAAAAGAAACTGTATTGTTGTTGTTTTGCAAAAAAAAAAAAAAATTAGAGAAGGAAATTCTGACATATGCTACAAGATGGATGAACCTTGAGGACATTACGCTAAGTAATAAGGAATAAGACTGGTAACTGTGTCCTGAGATGCCCAGTTATTTGCTTAAACATTCTGGGCACGTAGGTGTGTCTGTGATGGTGTTTTCAAAGGAGATTAATGTTTGAATTGGCAGATTGAGTAGAGCAAATTGTCCTCCCTGATATGAGCAGCCTTCATCCACTCCATTGAAGGTCTAAATAGAATAAAAAGGAAGAGGGAACTCCCACCGGCTGATTCTTTGAGCTGGGACGTGGGTCTTCTCCTGCCTTTGGACTCCAGTGGAAACATCAGCTCGTCTTGGGTTGCAAGCCTCCCAGCTTTTAGAGTGAAATCACACTGTCAGCTCTCCTGGATCTTCAGCTTGCTGACTGCAAATCTTGGGACTTCTTGGCTTGCATAATGCTGTCAGCCCATTCGTTATAATAAATCTCTTTGTATCTATATCTATGTCTATACATATATCTATATGTCCTGTTAGTTCTGTTTCTCTGGATAACCCTGACTAAACACATATGAGGGACTTCTAGTAGTCACATTCCTAGAGACAGAAGGTAAACCCATGATGGGCAGAGGCTGGGAGCAGGAAGAATGGCGAGTCATTGTTTAATGGGTACAGACTTCTGACTGTGCAAGGTGAAAAGACTTCTGGGGATGGATGGTGGTGATGGTTGCACAACAATGTGAATGTACTTAATGCCCCTGAACTGCATATTTAAACATGGTTAAGATGGTAAGTTTTATGTTATGTGCATTTTGCCACAGTTTTAAAAAATTTTAAAATGTTAAAAAAAAAAACCCATAACTAATAGTCTTAACTATTAAACATACCAAAGTTAGCTGTGATGACAACCCAATGTAGCAGTGTGACTGTTATTTCCCAATCTCATTATCCATGGTTTGTGTTATGGAATCTGGTATTGGTGGGAGTAATGGCAGCTATTACCAGCCTTTGCTAATTTTTTGAGACTTGTTAAGAATGTAGAAAAAATAACATTTTCATTTATTCAAAAATACTTAATGAGCACTTACTCTGCCAGGTCATGTGCTAGGCACTTGGGAGTAGATGCTCAACCAGACAGCCCCCTTCAGCTTAGGGCCCAGTGAAGGAGAGAGACAATGAAAGGCGTATAATAGCCTTACAGGTTGTCATAAGGGCAATGAGATTGAAAATAGGGAAGGAGGCCTACTTTGATAGGGAGTCGGGAAGCTTCTCTGAGAAGTAGCATTTTAAGCTTCTCTGAGAAAGAACCAGCTATGGAAGAGAATTCTGGGTCGAGGGAATAGTGGGAGTAAAAGCTCAATAATTCCTGAACTACTGAAGAAAGTGGTACTTATACATGGTTGCTTACCTTGAATGGTGCTGAATGAATGGGATTTCCACAAGGTTACAGAGTAATGACATAGGAGATAGGATGTTTTCAGCTATAAAATAAGAGGCTAATATTCTGTGATAACTAGATGCTTTTGAAGAAATATTTTAAGGAAAAAATCTCTAAAATAAATAGTTCTTGAAAAAATGGGCACATGTTGCTTTTTATCAGTTAATTGTATACACTTGACATTTTTGACATGACATTGACATGTCATTGACATTGACAATTTTAAAGGAAATTTATTGACAATCTTTTTAAGTAGTGAAAATTGGTCTCTAATTTAGCTTCTTCATAAGCTCATATATGGTGAAATGGATTTGTGTTTGTGGTTCTCAGACCAAATCCAGTATTAGAACAATTGACATAACAGGTATTAACTCAGAGTCAAAGGGTGGTGCTAGGAAAATGGGTTTCCAGAATGCTGGGAAGTGTGGAACTGAGACACTGGGGCTCACTCTGCTCTCCCTTGCTGGCCTTTGAGATGCAGGGATCAAAAGAGCTTGACATAAGTATTTCCTTAGCTAGAAGTACATAGATTGATTACATTTTTCCTGAATAGGCCTTGAATGTAATGAAAATTATGTTGTTACTAGAACCGAGCTTTCCACACTTGGCCATACCCTACCTGGAGCGAGCAGTTGTGCTGGAAGGATGTACCTGCACTAGGGATTTTTGGGGGCCAAGGGAAATACACATGTGTGGCCATCTTGCTTCCACCAAGATCTTTTTCCTTTGTTAATAAGTTAGGAGCTTGATGTGACTTGCATTTATAATCTACAGCTCATCATGTTTTCACGTATATCGAGAGGTCCTGCAAAGTGATGGATACCAAGGACAGCCACATCTCTCAGCCAAGCCACTCCTGTAAGGCTTCTGGGGAAAAACTGGCATCAGTCAGAACTCTTGAAATTACACGTAGCAAAAGCTAAGTCAAACTTACATTAAATAAATCTGTATTTGCTAGCCGATGTCCAAGGGGGTGGCTCAGATTTGGCTGATTCAGAGTTCAAAGTATATTGCCAGGACACCTTGTTTCTCTTTGTCTTAATCATTTGTTTTGCTTTCCTCTTGTCACAGGCAGGCTCTCCCTGAATTACAGCAAATATGGCCTCAGCAGTTCTTGAATTACATGGGGGCTGTAAACACGTGTAATCTGAGTAAGGAAGAGTCCCTGCACCCATAGCCATCCCTGATGAAATTCTCTGACTGGTGCTGGGTCAAGCTCTGTGAGTCTGAGTCATAAACCCAACCCTCTGCCTGGTGAAGTGGGACCAGGTCTGGGAGATGCAGGTGCCCAAAGGAAAAATGGTTACTCCCATTAGAAAAAGTGGAAGGGCAGTTCTGGCAGGCATATATATAAGAGACTATCTAGCAGAGAAAGAAACCAGGAAATTGCTCTTTTGGAGGAGAAGGGATAGAAGACTGTTGTACTCTTTTATATAGATACATTTTTTAAATATAACAAAAGCTACTTATCATAGTAATCAAGACTTCTAGACACCCCCCACACTGAATTTACATTTAACATCCACTTAAAATCCTTTAAATTATCAAGTTGCCTAATGTCCAAAGCTTGTTTACTCAAATCGTTATTTCCTGAATACCTACTGTGTGACTTGTTGACACTTTCCATTTATTGTTGAATCCTCACAATACTCTGTTAAGTATTATTTATATTTTACAGATGAGGATATTGAGGTTCAGACAGGCTAAGTAATTTGCCCCACGTCACACAACTAGAAATGAAGTGTGATTAGAGCCCAGATTTGCCTGGTTCCAAAGCCTATAGTTTTACTACTTCATGTTTATTCCTTAGTTCAACTTACTCGTTCACAAGGACTTGAGGATTGAGCTAGATAAGTGCACTGGGGGGAAATAACTATGTAAGTGTATTGACAACCTACTGAAAAAGTGTTAATAGTCTTTTTTTTTTTTTAAGATTTTATTTATTCATTTGACACAGAGAGAGAGAGAGAAAGAGGGAACACAAGTGGTGGGGGGGTGGGAGAGGGAGAAGCAGGCTCCCCACTGAGCAGGGAGCCCAATGCAGGGCTCAATCCCAGGACCCTGGGATCATGACCTGAACCAAAGGCAGACGCTCAACGACTGAGCCACCCAGGCGCCCCAAGAGCATTAATATTCTTGATATGGAGAGAGCTCTTAAAATCAGAACAATATTTTAAAAAATCAGAACAATATTTCAAAAAATACATGAAGTATTAGACTGATTAGTAACAAAAGTGCAAATAACTTTTAAACGTATGAATAAGTGTTGATCCTCACTGGTGATCAAAGGCATAAAAATTAAAATAACAATGTCAGTTTGGGGGTACCAAATAGACAATGATTTTCTTTCTTTTCCTTTCCTCCCTCCCTCCCTCCCTCCCTCTTTCCTTTCTTTCTTCTTTTAATTGTGTAGGGAAGGGATCAGGGAAGCAGAGACCTTCATACAAACCGGTGAGAGTAAATACTAGTACAATCCCTTTATTTCCCCAAATCTAGCTTTTTAAGATTATTGTGAGCAAACAGCAATCCCCTGACCCCCACCCCATCAATCCATTTCCCACAACTGTTTTCAAATCTTTAGCTGATTCTTATTATCTGAATTCTTAATATCTCTAACAACATGCTTATATCACTACTTTGTGAGTTTTCAATTTTAGGTGTTTTCTTGAGTTTTCAGTTGTAGGCATTATCTATTGATTTTCGACTTTGAAAGAGGGGAATTTAGCTCTGTCCTCACTAGTTACTATCCTCCTATCTTACTAATTCAGTTATATCATAATTTGGCTAGCTTAATATTCAATGTTTATGTGATTATGACTACATAAATGCCAGTTACAGTCGAGCCGCATACTACACTGTACTTTACCTTTTCTTGTACATTCTGTTTTCCTTGAAATTAATAGTTATCTTTTGTTTGTTTAGTTTCTCATGGGCTCATTATTAACTCATTAACTAGTGTTGTTTTCCATTTTTTTGGCAATATCTAGTGACTTTGATTTTCTTGAAGTCTCTTTGAACCCTCTGATCAGATCCTATGGAGACTGGTAGCCTTTTGGCCTGCTGCACAGCTGTCTCCTTTGGCTCTGTGTCATCAATTAGGGATTTCCTTTTCCTTTCTCCTGTGTCACATCTTTATCTCCCTACACCAAATGTCTTCCTCTTTCTTGGCTTCCTCTCTCTCTTCCTGAGGAAAGGTGCATCAAAATATATTGTTTTTGAGATTTTTACATGTCTGAAAATGTTTCTTTTACCTTCACTCTTAATTGATAGTTTGGCTGGGTATGTAATTCTTGAAAATAATTTTCTTTCAGAATTTTGAAGGCATTGCTTCATTGTCTTCTGGCGTCCACTATTGTTATAGCAGACAAACTTCTCCCAGGGGCAAGTATAATGTATAGAGAATATACTTCTTGCCCTAATGTACCCATAAATAAAAAATACGCCATTTATACATTCAACAAACTTAAATATTGTAACTCAGTGCAAAAGTAAAATAAAAAAGTTTTCTTATTTGCATCTTTATTATGTTTTGTAAACAGGCACCTGGGGGTATACTTTCTCTCTCTTTTCCCTTTGGCTATGACTTTGGAAGTCCAATGCTATTCTGATTCTTAATTCTTGATGTAAAGCTTGATTTTCTCCCTGAAAGCTAGCAAATGTCTTTCTTTGTTGTCACTTTACTGAAATTTCACAAACAGCTTCCTTTGGCTAAGCCTTTTTAATCTGAAAACTTGCTTCCTTCATTTCTGGGGAATTTTCTTCAATATTGATGATTTCCTTCCCTGTTCATTGTGTTCTCTACTTCAGGAACTCTTGAACTCTGGAACTCATTCATTAGAACTCCTGGACGGATCCTTTAATTTTTAAACGTTTTCTTTTCCTTTTCTCAATATTTCTGTTCCTTTTTCTGGGAGACTAATGCAACTTTATTTTCCAACCCCTCTCTTGAGTTCATTTTATTTCTGCTACAAAAATTGGTCTTTACACATAGCTAATTTTTTTTTTTGTTGATTCTCTTATCTTTGTTTTTCAAGTCTTTAATTTTTGTCTTTAGTATTCTTTCTTTCAACTTCCTTTGGATTTAATGTGTTTTTCTTTTTTATACTTAAGTTGAAAGATTAGTCCATTAATTTTAGCCTCTAAGCACAGTAAAGCTTTAGATCCACATCACAGGATTTAATTGGAGACATTTTCATTAATGTTCAGTTCCAAGTGTTTTCTAATTTTATTTTCTTCTTTGATCCATTAGTATACAGAAGCATATCTATTTTTAAAAAATGTCATAAAATTGATTTCTTGCTTAATTGCATTAAGATCCAAAATTGTGTTCTCTGTTCTTTGATTTTTGTTGAAACTTACTTTATGGCCTTTAACATAACTCATTTCTAATGTTCTATTTGTTCTTGCAGATAATGTGCACTCTCCAATTTAAGCTTGCTATTTTTTCTGTATTTTAATCAAATAAAACTTGTTAGGGGCACCTGGGTGGCTCAGTCGTTAAGCGTCTGCCTTCGGCTCAGGTCATGATCCCAGGGTCCTGGGATCGAGCCCCACATCGGGCTCCCTGCTCGGCGGGAAGCCTGCTTCTCCCTCTCCCACTCCCCCTGCTTGTGTTCCCTCTCTCATTGTGTCTCTCTCTGTCAAATAAATAAATAAAATCTTTAAAAAAAAAAAAAAAAAAAAAACTTAACGGTGCTGTGCAAATATCCTATATATTTACTGAGTCAACCTAAATTAAAATTATTGGCGATATTTTCTTTATAACAAGCAAATACTCTATATTCAGGCATCAAACCCACCTGAGTTTCAGATAGAAGCCACAAGTTATTAAAGAAAAAAAAGTTCTACCTAGAATCAAGCAGATAGGTGTGATGCCTTATTGTCTACCTCAGCAATTTCTTCTCCTAGTCTACCATTTAGCTAATTGTGTAGCCCTTTTCCCACCCTGGCTTTATGCTGGGGTCTTCAATCTACTCTTTGTCCTGTGTGTCACCTACAGCTATAGGCACCTGGGAGAGTAGATGTTTTCAGGGCATCCACAACCTTTCGTGATTCCTCAACCTCCCAGACTCTTCCTCCAGCTTTATTCCTGAATTTAGGGAATTTTTCCTACTTTCTTATAAGCTTACTAATTCATTTTAAGTGCTGTTTTAAAATATTTTATCCAGTGTTATTGAGTATTTTGTGTGGGTAGTGGTGTTCCTCCAGTGTATATTTCTTACCTTACTCATCTCTCTCAACTTCTCATGTTCTTGCTCACTCTTATTTCATAAAGGCTATGTATTCTTATATCCTTAACCATGACAAGCAGCATTTTACCCCCTCATCACTGTAATAAATTTTCAGTGATTTACCTATCTTTTGAATTGACACGCTATTTTTATTTTCTTTGTCTCACAGTATTTTTAAAATGGATTCCATTTTTTCTCCTTTTTACTTATTTTTGGATATAGAATATTCCATTGATCCTTACCTGGTCTTTGCCAGCAGACAGACTGGTCGAATTGTCTTTGGCCCTCTTGTCTGTCCACTTGTGTGCTGGTCAAATTCCCTTCACAGATCTTAAGATCTAGCAGGCTTTGGCTCTTGTGGTTCCTTTGGGTTCCTTCCCATACTCTGAATAGATGGGATTTCAAGAAAGCCTAGTTCAAAGTATTCTCAGGGCTGCTATTCCTGCCATGTCCTTGTCTAAAAACATGTCATGATATAAAGGGGCCATCATCTTTTCTCTTCTTTCCTCTTTTCTCCAATCCCTTGTTCAGTTTTTATTTTATTTTATTATTTTATTTTATTTTAATTGTTTGTAGATAAGGGGAGAGTACTTACAAATTGTTTTAGAAGACAGCTTTAGCAGCAAAACAGAACAATGGAGAGAACTGTTATCTAGTTTTGTGACTAAAATGTGTGGCATGCAGGTGATCTCCTATAGATCATTGCTAAAAATGCATATTCTTGGGCTTTTCAGACCTACTGAGTCAGAATCTCAGGGTGGGGGTGGGGAGTGAAGCCTGAGAATCTACATTTTAACAATTCTCTAGATGATCGGGATGCACACTGAAATCTGGGAACCACTGGTGTGGACCTATGATTTCTTAGGAGGGCGAACAGTAAAGAGGGATGAAGCACCTACCTTTTTAAAACAGGGCATAACAGGGATGGATTATTAGTCTAATTTCCCATCCAGTTACATTAATATGGTAGGAAAAATATTCCTTCTGGACTCTGGAAAAAAGATTAACAATCAATACCAGTTTTTGGTAGTATGGTTTTTTAAAAGTATATGACTAGTTATTTCAGTGAGAACTTGAGAGAAATTACACAGAGGTTGTGATAGGCATCTTTTAAAACTGAAGACCTCTGGTTTATCTTTCAAACATTGCTGAGGTCTACTTTTTCCGATTCAGACTCATTGCCACCAACAGGGGTTCATTACTGTAAGCAGAGACTATTTTTACTGCCACATAGCTAGAATTTGATGCTTCCTTTGTTCCTTACTCAATTCACAATTCATGTCACATCGAAAACATGATCAAAACATCCAGTGGCTATGCAATCTGCCTATACGATGAAGTCCAAATTTCCAACTTCAAACAGCCATTCAAGATTCTTCATTGTATAATCTTTTCTTCCCGCCCCTGTTCTCTAAGATTACGCCTTTCTCACCTGGCTGGTCTCATCGTCCCTGTCAGGACTTGCTTGTCAGGACTCTAAGCCTCTGCTTATGCTCTAATATCCACTTCTTTGTTTATCCAAATCTAAAGTGGCATTCAAAGTAAAGCTCAGGTGTTACCTTTTCTCTGGCTCAAATTTTTCCTTCACACTGCAGATTTGTCACTCTAAAATATCTTCATTTTCCCATTCCCTGGAGGATAATATGTAAACTCTTTCACCTCATATACAACACGGCCCCAATTTCTCTTTCCAGTCTTATCTCTACAAATTTTATGTACTTGACCTCCAGACACAGTGAATCACTCTCTGATTCTCAGTCTTGTCATGTTATGTCCAGCTTTCCGTACCTTTGTACATGCTCTTCCCTCTGCCAGATATGACTTACCCTTTTCTCCCCTTGAAAAACTCTCAAATATCCTTCAAGACCCATTTTAAACTCTCTGTGAAACCTCTGACCACTCCCTGGTGAAGCACATCACCCCAGAGTATCTTGAGTCTAAATATCCTAAACATGGATCTCATTGTATTGCAATTCTTCATTTGTAGGTTTGTTTTCTGTACTGGATGTGGGCCCATTGCTAAACAGTACCTAGTAGGGTACTGTTTATCCAACAGTTGCTTGAAAAATGTTGCTGAATGCTTGAATGCTGTAACCTGTATTGATTTCCCCATTGTCTCAACTCCAAGAGCTCTTAGTGCTTACATCAGTCATTTTGCTCAGTTTCCTCACATTGTTCTTCTACTGTCTCAAGTGTATGCCGGATTCCAGCAAGATTACATAGAGATGTCCTGATCAAGACTTCACTTTTCCAGCCTCAGTGTCTTCACCTGTAAAATAGAGGATAATAATAGCACCTCAATCAAAGTGTGAAATGAAGTATTGCACTGAAGTGTTTAGCACAAGGCCTGGCACATAGTATGAACACAAAGTGGGACAAACATTTCATACACTGTTACATCTTGCATTTCTGTCATTTCCCCCTAGCAGTCACATAGGGCTCTAGTGAAGATGATATGAGAACATACACGTGAAACGATGTAATACACTATGCAAACATTTACCTTTATTTTCACTGTGTCCTAACTAGGTTAAAAGCCCGTTTCAGCCTTCACCCCTTAGGTCCTCAGCAAGATGCACAAAGCCTTATCCAGCTCAGCTTTTCTTTCACAGCCTCCTATCACCTCTCAGCACCTGTCACAGGGTTATGACATAGTAGGTGCACCATTAAAGAGAGTGACAGCTCCAGAATTACCAAGGCCTCTAGCTGCAAGTGAAGCCTTCTGCATTCTTTTTGTTTGCTGTTTGCTTTGTATTGATTTAAACACTTTGCCTTGGTCAACTCACTCCTGACATTTTGGAGATGCTTAGTTTGCTTTATGTGTGCTCTTCCACCTTTGGCCAGTGTCCTACTTTTTTCCTCTTACTAAAGACATAAGTTATATTTATATAACTCTTCCACTGCAGAATGAACAAGTGCTTGATTTGGGTCCTTTCTGATATTTTGGCCATTTGTGTATATCACTAAGATGTGACTTTTGCATTTAGAATATAAGACATGGTAATACACATACAGAAAAAAAAAAAAAAGATAAAGGATAAGGCTTTCAAATACTGTATGGAAACACAGGTATGGTTACAATGAATCGAAATAGGTGAGGGACGCCTGGGTGGCTCAGTCGGTTAAGCGTCTGCCTTCGGCTCAGGTCATGATCCCAGGGTCCTGGGATCGAGTCCCGCATCGGGCTCCCTGCTCCGCGGGGAGCCTGCTTCTCCCTCTGCCCCCCCCCTCTCTATCTCTCATGAATAAATAAATAAAATCTTAAAAAAAAAAAAAAAGAAATAGGTGAAAGTTCCCGCAATCTCGAGAATACGTACGCAATTTCTGAAAAGGATCTGAAGCAACGTACAGGGAAAGCGCAGTATAGTAAGACTGGGCCATTAACCACGAAACGAAGACTTGCATCTGAAGAGTTGCATCCTAAAACCCTGAGGCATTTCCTGAACTCAGAGTTTACGGGACCACCCGGTACCGACTGGAGGCCGGCCTGGTGAATCCAGGCGAACCGACGCAGGTGCGGGCGAGGCCAGCCATGCAGCCCAGGCCCCGCCGCTGCGCCGCACGAGCACCCGGGCGGCGGGCCGGGCTCAGCACTCCGCCGGCCCGCTCGGCGGTCGACCCCCGGCGGCCGGTGCGGGATCCCGCGGCTCGCGCTCCGCGGGATCCCTCCGCCCGCCTGGGCCCAGCCGGCCCGGCAGCGCGGAGCCGGCCGCGCCGGGGGAAGGAGTTTCCGGCGGACTCGGCGCGGTGCCGCTTCCTGTCCCTCTCGCCGCGCCGCCTCACGCTCCCTGTCCCGGACGCGGCTCGCGCGGGACCCGCTCCCCGGCGACAGCCCCCCTCCCCGGTGCCATGCAGTCCCGGCTTCTGCTCCTCGGGGCGCCAGGCGGCCACGGCGGCCCGGCGGCGCGGCGCGTGCGGCTGCTCCTGCGACAGGTGGTGCGGGGCAGGCCCGGCGGCGACGGGAGGTGGTCGGAGGTCAGACTGCTGCATGCCGGGGCGGGGGCCGACACAGGTAACCCCGGGACGCCCTTGCTGTCTGTGCGGGGGGAGGGGGGACTGCGCTCCTCTGCACCCCACTGCGCCCCACTCCCTGCTGCGCCGCTTGGGAAGGAGCGCTGCGCGGGAAGCCCAGACAGAGAGGTTCACGTCCCGGTCTCGCGGCTCACTGCTGTGTAACGCGGGGCCAGGCGCTTGCCCTCTCTGGGCCTCAGTCTGTAGTCCCGAGGGAGCGGCGCTAAGGTTTCTGATGACCCGGAATAGTGCATTCCCCTTCCCTCACTGTTGCTTTTACCCCCACGATGCTGATTTGGATTACAGTACTCGCTGGGGTTCACGCAGCAGCCCTCAGGAATTGTTGAAACCTGGACTTGACCTTGCCTTCCGAGTCTCAAGGGCCTGGAAGCCGGGTTGTGTTTTGTTCCAGCCAGGGCTAGTGGCGGCTTAGAAGAGTGCATTCTCGCCAAGGATCCCATTGTCACAGTGTTTTAAACGTATACACAAGCCTTTCTAACTTTTCCAGGGGTTTTCCTTTCTCACAGTGCTCACATCTTATTAGAGCTGAAAATCACGACTTAAGTTTAAAACTCACGACTGTACAATTGAATAATTGAGACCCAGAAGGGAAAAGTGACTTAAGGAGATCACATAGCTAACTAGTGACTGCTTTAGAATCACGTGCTCTGATTCCTAAGCTCAGTTTTTGGTTTTTTGTTTGTTTGTTTTGCTTTGCTTTGTTTCTGTTTTGCTTGTTTGTTTGGATCTACCAGAGCTGGTTTTAGGAATCTTTTATTGTTGTTGTTGTTGTATGTTGGAATTAGAGCATTTGTGCTGGTTAAGGGGAGGGATGTATGTTGTTGCTGCTCTTGAATGGCAAAGTGATTCTAAGCAAGATGTTGTCAGTGTCACTGTTGCTTAGAATAATGGAGGTTTTTACTATGAAGTTGCAGGTTTCATTGTTCCTCTTGCAACTCTGCCCCAATAATTTTCCTTGCCAGGAAGTTTAGGTCCCATACCTTCCATCCATCCATCCATTCATTCATTCATTCATTCAACAAATGTTTTTTTTCTTTCTCCTGTGTAGAGTTGTGATTTCAAATTTTGCCCCTTTATCGGTTATTGTGACTTCTATGGTGTTTGTTTACCTGTTAGAGGTTTTTGTTTGTTTGTTGCTTCTTTGTCCTAGAAAGCAGAGAGGACAAGGGTAGAAGTGCAGCATAATCTTTAACTTGGGCTTTGGAGTGAAACAAACAGGTTGGCGTTAAAAAAATGGGTTGGAGTCCATTTTTGCATTGTCTGGATATGGAGACTTGAGGGTGGGTTACTTAATTTTGTGTCCCAGGTGTCTTTTTTTTTTTTTTTTATGTTCAGTTAGCCAACATATAGTACATCATTAGTTTTTGATGTAGTGTTCAATGATTCATTAGTTGCATATAACACCCAGTGTTCATCACACGGCAGGTGTTGTATCCCAGTTTTCTTAACTGTAAAATGAGGATAAGGAGAGTACACTTGACAGGATTGTTCTGAGGATTTACTTATTTCATGTAATTCCTGCCACATATTAATGTTCAATAAAAGTTAACTTCTTTATAATTCTTAGAATATGTATTTTCAGCTATACGAAGGTTTTTCTGTTTCCTTGGCTTTAGGTGAAATTGAAACCAGTTATTTTAGGTCTAGAACTGTCAGAACTAGCTGGGTAGGCATATGGAAAAAAGTTAATTGATATGAACTTAAAAAAATTGTTCTTTGTACAAGAATAATACATGTTGATTATAAAAACATTAAAAATGTCCTCAAAATTATGTCCTGCAAATCAAAGTACAGGGTTTGCTTCAAATGTGAGACTCATGAACACATTACAGACAACATATTAACTTCTTAGACTCAGTCACTGACCCTAGCAGGATCATATCACAAGGAATAAATTGTGCTAAACCTACTTGCCTTGCTGCTGCAAGGTTGAAGGTAGGAGGATGGTGGATGAATGTAGTTGGAACCTCACCAGAGATATGAATTCTATTAAGAACAATTGAGAGCTAGGGGCACCTGGGTGGCTCAGTTGTTAGGCGTCTGCCTTTGGCTCGGGTCATGGTCCCAGGGTCCTGGGATTGAGCCCCACATTGGACTCCCTGCTCAGTGGGAAGCCTGCTTCTCCCTCTCCCACTCCCCCTGCTCATGTTCCCTCTCTTGCTGTGTCTCTCTCTTTCAAATAAATAAATAAATAAATAAAATCTTTAAAAAAAAAGAAAAGAACAATTGAGAGCTAAGTAAACAGGAGGCAAGCTCTTGGCTACCCTGGGACGTAATGTTGGCCATCAAGTTTGGAGTGTCTCAGTTTGAACCAGAGGTCATACACAGATAAAATAAAACCACAAATAGCACTATGCTGCGGTGAGTTACAGTTTAGGTTGGAAAGATTCTCCCAGCTGCATACACACGTGACCAGTAACTCATCTCTCTGCATGTAACTGACCTTGCTTGCTAGTAGTTTGGAAACAGAGCAACAAGGTACATAAGCAGTAGATTGACATCATATACTGTTCTTATCTCTCCTGGATTGTATGTATGTCTTATTATATTTGTCTTTATATTCCTTTTGGTGCCTGTCAACATTTTGTACCTAATAATAAGCACTCAGTGGCTTATAACGCTAAAATTCATACAGAGAAGGAGCAGGAGAGGCTGGGATTGCCTTGTTGGCTTTCAAGATAGGAGCTTCATAAAGCCTTGTAAGCAGAAGGAGGAGAGGGTCGTTTATGTTAAAAAAAAAAAAAAATCCCCAAACCCACTGCTTTTTATCTCTTGCTATTGGATAGTTTAAGTATCCATAATTTGTAAGTTCTTTATATCTTTATACTTCAATAAATAGTATTGTCTCTTAGTTTTAGGAACAAAGAGATTTACAAGGAGGTTAGCAACTGCAAAGAGTTCTCTTTTTTTAAAAGATTTTATTTATTTATTTGTCAGAGAGAGAGAGCACAAGCAGGGGGAGCAGCAGGCAGAGGGAGAGGGAGAAGCAGGCTCCCCGCTGAGCAAGGAAACCCGATGGCCATCCTAGAGTTTTCAATAAAGATTATTGGTGTTTTCACAGATGGAGCCAAACGAATTGGTTCAGTAGGACTCTGACATTAAACAGGTTTAGATATACCATAGAGCAAGATCAGATGATAAACTTGGGAACATAACTGTATAAATCTACCATGACATGTTTAGTGCTGTCATTTAACACCATTGTTATTAAAAGGATTCACTGTTCTGTCTTTATGACTTTGTGTATGAAATACATTTGTTTAAAGAAATATTTAAAAATACTTTTTGTGCAGGAAATTTATGTTCATTGTAGGAAAGTGAAATACAAATCCCTTAAGACCTAATTCTCCCATGCAAAGTCGTAATTGTCAACTTTTTGGTATTAACATTAGCAAATTTTGTAAAAATACATATAATATCTATTTGTATAAATATGTATTTCTTTTCTAAAAAATGGGATCATGTATGTTTTATAATTTATTCTCACTTAACCATTATTGTGAACATATTAACAAAATGATAAATATTGCTATACATGATTCTTTTAAGTATATATTAAGTTCATGTATTTATCCATATAATTTATTCTACCAGTTTCCCATTCTTAGACATTCAGGTTGTATGTATGTATGTATTTATTTATTTATTTAAGTAATCTCTACACCCAATGTGGGGCTTGAACTCACAACCCCGAGATTAAGAGTCGGATGCTCTACCGACTGAGCCAGCCAGGAGCTGCAGGTCGTCTATTTTTAAATATATAAAAAGTGCAATAGACATCCATCCATGATGCATTTTTTTTGTGATTTTAAGATTTTATTCTTGGGCTACAATAGAATTAATGACTTTGGGGAGGGGAAATAGAGAACTCTTGCTCAACTGAGAAATATAGTGTAAAGGGAAAAACTGCACTATGGTTTTAGATCTGTATTTACTGGGTATTGAACTTTGGGGAAATTATTAACTACCCTGAACCTGCAGCAGGCTATTGTGACTCTGAGGACATTGTGACCCTTGTATATTAAATAATTTAGCAGTAAGATCCCCAAACAGTTGTTACCTAATAAATCGTTAGGAAGACCTGTGTTAGGAACATGCAGACTAACCTGGAATTTGCTGATATATTTGGTTTTCTCTTGGGTCTAATTTTTGTATTAAAAAAAAATGGTGGGTGCCTGGGTGGCTCAGTCGTTAAGCGTCTGCCTTCAGCTCAGGTCATGATCCCAGGCTCTTGGGATAAGTCCCACATAGGGCTCCCTGCTCCGCGGGAAGCCTGCTTCTCCCTCTCCCACTCCCTCTGCTTGTGTTCCCTCTCTCTCTGTTGAAAAATAAATAAAATCTTAAAAAAAAAAAAATGGTGACACTAAATCAGTGGTTCTTAACCAGGAGTGATTTCCTTTCCTCGGAGGAAAATGTGCATAGAAAAACATGGTTCGCATAGGTGGGAGGTCCAATGGTTGTAGGCTAGATACAGGATGTTCAAATATTTTTAGGGTTCTCTCTGCCTTTCCCCATGGTTCCCCCACTTTCCACTCTCCATTTGTTGGATTTGCTTTTTGCCGTATTGGTTTCAGCATCTGCCAGGATTTCTTCAAGTAGTAGCAGTGATAGCCTTGCTGACAGCCCCAGATTTTGATCGTCCTTATAATTCACACTGTTAGAAGAGAGAACATCTTTTCCTGTGAGCTCCGGCAAAAATCCAGGTGAGAACAGTTATTGGCCAACCTTGGATCGTGTGCCTAAACCAATCACTGTGGCCAGATGGTGGAATGTTCTGGCAGGGGTTGTGCAGGATACTTACTTCTGGAGGTTTTGGTGCAGGGGTAAAGGGTGGAATGAGTGGTACCCTACCCAAACCAAATGGGATGGGTTTCCCCACTGGAGAGAGGGATTCTATTGTCAAAAGGGGAAAGAATATTGAGCAGGTAAAACAAAACAGCTGTCTGCTAAAAATCAAGTACATAATATCCAAAGGAGTTA